AGACTCTGTCTCTAAAAAAAAACAGCTGATGGGCGGTGCCAGTTGACGGATCGCTCAGTGGGTAGGGCGCTGGCCTGATATACTGAGGGTGGTGGTTTTGAACCTGACCCGGCCAAAAAAAAAAGCCAGGTGTTGTGGCGAGCGCCTGTAGTCCCAGCGACTTGGGAGGATGAGGCAAGAGAATCACCTAAGCCCAGGAGTTGGAGGTTGCTGTGAGCTGTGATGCCACAGCACTCTACCAAGGGCAATAAAGTGAAACTCTGTCTCTAAAAAAAAAAAGAAAGAAAAATACACAAATAGGATTCTGATTACAGATGTCATGAATATTTCTTACAGAAACTAGTCAGAAATAAAAGCTATTTTATTTATGAATATTTATGAATATTTTTACAGAAACTACTCAGAAATAAAAGCTATTTCAAACTTTACTTTTTTTTATTTTAGAGACAAGAGTCTCACTTTGTCACCCTTGGTAGAGTGCTGTAACATCACAGCTCACAGCAACCTCCAGCTCTTGGGCTTAGGTGATTCTCTTGCCTCAGCCTCCCATGTAGCTGGGACTACAGGGGTCCATCACAACGTCCAGCTATTTTTTGTTGTTCTTGTTGCAGTTTGGCCAGGGGCGGGTTTGAACCCACCACCCTGGGTATATGGGGCTGGTGCCCTACTCACTGAGCCATAGGCACTGCCCTCAAACCTTACTTTTTATATATAAAATAATAAAATACATTTAACATAAATGATTTTTCAGTTGAGTCATAAAAAGTCTAGCTTGATTTTAACAGCTAAAAGTAAAAGAAGTATGATCCCAGTTTCTAAAAGCATGTGTATATATACTTGTTTTACTATACAACTGACAACTGAAAATGAAGTTATTTATTTATTTATTTATTTCTTGAGATAGAGTCTCACCTTGTCCCCGTGGGTAGAGTGCTGTTGTGTCACAGCTCACAGCAACCTCACACTCTTGGGCTTCAGCGATTCTACTGCCTCAGCTTTCCAGGTAGCTGGGACTACAGGTGCCCACCACAACACCTGGCTAGTTTTTGATTGTAGTTGTGCAAACCTGCTAGCTCCAGGGTATGTGGCTGGTGCCCTAGCTGCTAAGCTACAGGCACCGAGCTTACAGTAGAGGTCTTATAAAGAAAAGGATCAAACAGGGCATTGCCTGTGGCCTAGTGGGTAGGGTGCCGGCCCCATATACTGAGGGTGGTGGGTTCAAATCTGGCCCCAGCCAAAACTGCAATAACAACAAATAAAAAATAGCCGGGTGTTGTGGCAGG